TTTTTTTGCCCCCCCCCCCCTGTAGTAATTGCCAACAATAAACTCTCGCAAAAGATATTATCTCATTTATTATAGCCTTTTGCATTAGTCATCTAGTTCCTCTAGCTCACTCTCACAGGTTCCCTCCAATTATCAAGAATGCCAAGTAAAGGAACCGGTTTTCGATAGTTACTCAACTATCACAGTAGACATCATAAACAAACCTTATCGATTTCTTGCATGAAATGAAGTAGGAAATCCACTAGCTTATGTTTGTACATAGTTTCCGTATGGGATGCTGTGATTAAGAATGAGATGTCATATCCTAAACAAGAAATTACTGAGAAACGATTAAAAGACGGTAGAAATATCGAAAAGACAACTATGACTCACCAGGTAGAGGTTTACGTCTCAGAACGAAGAAGCTGTCGGCTCGCTGACACATAAATCGCGTAAATTTATGACAAAGTATACGTTCGATTTCATCCGATTGCTTTATCGAAATTGACACTCTTAAAGAAAATGAGTTAATGGAACGCATATTTTTACCAAATTAGTTTAAAAGACAAGCGGGTTCTTAATCTGCATGAAATTCGAAGGTAAAAGAAAGTGAAGGTAATAGGAACCCTTCTGAAAATCCGAACGAAATCAAAATATTCAAGAAACGACCATTGCATCAGATGAGCAAGTAAGAAGGCGTTCATACTTTGCGCGATTCGAGCGTTTGCCGGCGTTTCGAGCGAATAGAAAAATATAGTTATCGATCCAGTGTTTTGAGCGTACACCAGCGTGTTGAGCAGCTGAGAAGGTGAAGATACTGATTATCACTGAAAACGCTGGCGAACGCTCATGTGCTGATGGACGCTCGAAACGCTGGGCCGATACCTATAGTTTCCAAGTCGCTCAAAATAAGCGAGACGTTCTAAACGCCGACAGACGCTAAAAACTCTGACGCAAAATATGCGCGCGCTCTAAAACTATCAGAACGAGAAGTTTACGAGTATCAACGGGAAAAACATTAATTAAGATAAACAGTGAAATAGAAGGATCGAAAACTACACTTACAGGTTTAATAGAAGGTTTATGAAAGGACTCGTTTTCTTTGCTTTCGAGCTACAACACCGTGTATCAAAGTTTTTGGAAGTCCGCATTCAACCTGAAATTAAGAGGTGATAACAGCGTTATCCTGAGATCACCTGTTAGTTGATGGGAGCGTGAGAGCTGTAAAAAAGTCTAGAGAAGACTGGAGGAGGGAGTAAGCGAGTCTCGAGGCAGGTGTCCGCTCGTTCATAGATACCAGACGCGAGAGGCCGATCAATGCAATGTTGCCGGAGACTACCCTCGTTCAAAATATTGGAGGTGGAAAGAGGCCTCCAGCTGAATTTATGTAGTGCTTTATGGTCCGTCTCAAATGAGACAATGCTCCGGAGCCTGTAAAGATCCATGTAATCTGGAAGTTACAACTTTTTCGATTTCCGCATGTAGAATTGGTCGGCCTGCGCGGGTGGACATCTCTCACTGATCTGAAGTTAAAGCCTTTTAATCAACAAGGTGTTTCGTCATGCAAAAACAGGCGTCTCTCCAGTAGCGTAGGACTAGATTGGTACCCTAATGTTCCGATCTTCAAATGCAGAGCCAATTTTTTGACGACTTCTTTCTTAGGGATTTAGCTGATAATATGGATTTCAGAAGTGGTTTTCAACTCTAAAGCATATTGATTTAACTTGGAAGAAACCGCTTGGCTCCGGATGGAGTCGATGCTCAGCTGTCTGTTTTAACCAGTGGTGTAACGAGGTATCTGCTAGGATTTTTCCGCACGCGAGCGGTGAGCTAGGACATTTAAAACGGCGAGATGGGGAATCATTGGCGCTGGTTGGCTGCCATCTTGCTGAGATATATAAGCTTGACAACGACTGGATTTGTGGGGAGGGGGGGCGGAAGAAATGGTGCAGACAAGGAAAAACAGGTCGCGCTGCTATGTGTACCCAGCGTTAACCATCCATAACTACCCTGGATCCCCATGCATATGTGATGTGATGTTCGTGTTCAGGAGGTTACCCCTGAGAACAAATTGTCAGCGAGCTGGGTGATTCAGGATATTTTAAGGCCGGAGTTTTCGAATCAAACGAAAACATTAGTCCTGTTCACGAAGCTAGACTAAAGAGACCGATTTTAAGACAAACAGAACTCTGACTGGAGCGTTTAGAGTAAATAGGACCACTGCCTCAATTTACAACCCAAGCCTTACCCCTACGCAGTTAATACATGGCTAGTTAGCAAGAATGTGCAAGTCTCAAAGAAGGATCCTTATAGACGGTTGCAGAAAAGTCTCAGAAGTTTCAAGTTCATTGAAACAGACAATGAAATTGTAATAAGGTTTTTTCAAAAGAAAATATTTTCACCTCAGGTTTCATGTGCCTTTCGACAACTTGGGAGCTAAACTGTTCGAGACATAGTGCAGCTTGTAGGGTATGTCGTACAGCTTCGAGGTAAGGTTGCAAAGTGGCGCTCTAAAAATCTGTCCTTAATAATGTCCTTTGACAGCTTGAGTGAGTTATATCAGAGTCATCTGTATGAAGTATCATGCACAAGAAACAAACCATAATTCTCAGGAGTCGTCCTTAATGATGTTCCGAACAGGATGAAGCCGCTCAAGAGACCCTTATTACCTTCAAAAACTCAATTGTGTCAGAAAAGAAAGAACACAGATACGAAATGCACGAATACTCGCTAACAATTATTTAGACATCGTGAATCACAGTAGCAGTAAATAACTGAACAAGGAGATGAACGACCACACCTAGACCAGAAAACCCAGCGGGAATTTTCAATTTATCCAAAAGCAGGTGGGAAATCCTCTTCCTTTAAGCAAGCTCAGTCTATCTATACTACAACTCATTTGGTAAAGAATTACCATTTGACAAGAGCGAAAAATGAAACAAGCAAAAAAAGGAGAGCTGAAACTGATAATTGCATCACCAAGCGTGTTATTAAGTACTGGGGCAACCCAAAACATCAGCCGAATTCGAGCCCAACTCTGATGAATCTTCCAAAGCAAGAAAACGATGCGTAATGCTGGCTGAATCAATCAGCACCGAAAGAAATTCGCAGCGGCGGTCGCGCGGCGGCTTCGCTGTAGAGCGCGGCAAGTAGGGGG